TAACTCTGTATTAACTACTGTATTAACTTTTTCTCTCACTGACTGCCCTTGTTTCATTGAACCAAGTTCAAACTTCTTGTTCTACCTTTCAAGACCCTTCACAATTCTGCCCCTCTTTATTTGACTACTCTTGTCTCTTATTGTGCCAGTTTCATCTCCTACAGTCTACCAACAATGCCAGTTTTGTCTGACCCTTTGTCAGCTTCTCATGCAAACATTTTCATGACTTCTTCCATCCTGTTCTTGAGTGTGGAATGTCCTCCCCTAACTGATCCAGAATGCTATCATTCTATACTACAGATCTCTCCTTAAGAATAATTTAGCAGTGATGCCTATAAGAAATCAGTCAATTAATAACGATTTAAGTATTCATAATTATCAAGAAAAAATTGCAGTTGTGTATAGATATATTTAAAAACTGTATCTGTCTTTGCCAAGTATTTTTGATGTCACTTGCCTCCTCAGATTGAGAGATCTTCAGGTAGGGTGCAACATCGAGCACAAAGGAGCCCCAGTTCTGCTTAGAACTCCAGACACTGCCTTCATGTAAATATTAAGTAATACACAGCTGTGAATTTGGCCCAAGTAAAGCTACACAAAAAGTATTTAGCTTTTAATTCAAGTGAAAGATATTGCTACGGTTTGAAATTTAATATAATACTTATACATAGATTTCAAAGTGCTTTATGAAGATGAATAAGCATCATGACCCCAAATTTACAGATGGGGAATCTGAGGTACACAGAGTTGTGATTTGCTAAAGGTCACACAGCAAGTCAGTGGCAGGAACAGGAGTAGAATCCAAGGCTCCTGACTCTGGGTCTTATGCACATAAAAATTGCCTATAGGTTTTTGCTTTAGATAGAAGATGATGGATGTGATTGTAATGTTGAAGTCTATTGGAGTTTTGCCCAAGTTAGGAATCCAGACTAGGCCTTGGAAAGATCTTTGGTTGTATGGGTTTACATGAAATATATTTCATTACAACAGTTTGTGAATTGTATATCTACTGCTGCGCCGTTTACAGGTTATCGTTTTAAAGCAATGTTTCTCAAACTGGGGTCCGTGGACCCGAGGGCACTCCAGGGGGGTCTGCCGGCCCTGCTCATCAACTCCTCCCCTTCCCTCCCTCAACCCCTCCCTCTCCCTCCTACCCTCCCAGTGCCTCCTGCATACCGCTGAAGAGCTGTTCCCTGGTGTGCAGGAGGCACTGGGAGGGTGGGGGAGGAGCGGGGATGGGGCATGCTCAGTGGAGGGGGTGTGGAGAGGAGGGGTGGGACATTGGGGGAAGGGGTGGAGTGGGGGTGGCGCCTGGGGCTGACAGGGGAGCTTGGGGGTCCGCAAAAAAATTAAATCAAAATGGGGGTCCTTTGGATGCTAAAGTTTGAGAACCGCTGGTTCAAAGTATATGTGAGAAAATGTTACGTGCCACTAGTGGTTGAGTATTACGTCTTTTAAATAATTCCTTTACATTTCATCTGCTACAAAAGGTTTGAACTTTTAATTAACATTTTTTATGGCAGTGGTCCAAAAGATTTTAATTGCGTGCTGCTAATTTAATCAAGTTTGGACATAAATGATTATGTCGATCAGTAGGAAAGGAACAGTGCTGCAAGCCTGTGCATCCCAAGAGCTTTCCCATTTTCAGAAGGGCAAGTGACGCTAAAACATGCCAAGTATGTGCTTGGCTGGGAGATGTGTACTGTGGTTTTTGGCAGTCATAAGTCTTTTTACTTTTTAAACCTACATACCTTTTTAAATATTAGAAATTTGAAATTCTAAAATAAAATCCTATGTATTTTAAGACTTAATTATGCATTTTCCATTATTTGTAGATTTTTCAGTATGAGCACTAAATTCACTAAAAATATAAAAGATGTTAAAAATATCAAATTCTGTTATTGTAAGGTAGTCAAGTAGAACAAAGTTCAGGCCATGCAAGAATTTCCATAATAAAAACAACTTAGTTTGACAGGTTAGTTTGCCCATAAAAGAATTATTACTCCCACTTAACAATAAACTCCCAAGTAAATATTTTAGACATGCAATTTAAAACTGATTTTTTTAACCTAAGTATTCTACTTTAAAAAGCAATTCAATTAAAGCCATATTTTGTTAAGATACCTGACAAATGGCTTTGATTTGATTTAAAAACTGCAAGTTGGCAAGAGATTTGTTTATAAAATGATTTAATTCGGTTTTATAGGCGGAGAGGTCATTAGCACAATAAAAGAAATTGTTAAAATATTTAAAACAGAAACATTGACTAAAAGACACGCCTGGATCTAGACACTAAAAGATCAAGGCTCATTGTGAGGGAAAGTAGTTAGGGGACAAGACTTGCCTGTAGAGAATGTGGATGATTTGTAACACCTGTCAAGAATGGTCTAGGTATACTTGGTCCTGCCTCAGCATAGGAGGTTGGATCAGATGACCTCTTGAGGATCCTTCCAGCCCTACATTTCTGTGATTCTAGGATTTGATGGCTCTGAAATCAACCTATTTTGTATACTTGTGAGGATGAAGATTTTCCTTTGAAGTGACCTGCAAATACATTTTCATTTGCTGATGTCAGGAGACCTGCTGAGAAGGAGTGATTTCTAAAAATGTACCTGCACCTTTTGGGTATTCAAGCAAGCACGTAGGTGTCAAAGCAAAATGTGTATTGTAATAGCAGGAATACCCATTTTGAGTGCAAATGGAGGTTTTTCTGTGTACAAAGTGGCATGCTGTCAAACTTTGCAGGTGTAGTTTCTGGGGCTTGTTTGAAAATTTAGTCTTGAGCATTTTTCTCATTTGTTATTGTAATGTTATCACATGTTCCTCCAAATAGCACCTTTCTTGTTTCACATAACGGAGAATGGAGTGTGCTTACTGTCTGTAAACTTCAAAAATATTGATTGCTGTCATTGTAATGGTTATAATGAATTTTATGGTGACATTTCAAATTTAAATATATCATGTCATATGTTCTTTCCTTGAGTTACTACTACCCTGGGATGATAAACACCGAGGGTAAAAATGTGTCATGTTAATATTGTGCAAAGACTATCTGGTCCAGTAATTTAATTATTTCATTTTATTTTAAATTAAGTTTTTCCTTCTGCATCCTCTGATTTACATTTGTTTAATTATGGTAGATAAACAGAGTCCTATTTTATCTTATCTTATCTATGAAGCTTTTTGAGCCATATAAATTGTCAAAAGCCATTCATGGATACTGACTTCACAGTAGGTGGAGGAAAGGTCAGTTCTGCTACACAGAGGTCAAAGAAAAAAAAACTGTGCACCAAGAGATCTCATGCAAATAACCTCCCAACATCTTACTATGGGCCTCTCCACTCCTGAAGTTGTGGTCCTTTGAATTGCAGTGATAACTACCTTCAGCACCCCAAGATAGGAAGAAAAAAAAAAAAGCACCAGTCATGGTCAAAGGCATGATTTGGTTTGGTTTTTAAAGAGTACCTGGCATTAAGGATCAGAGAGAAAGAGGTTAACTTCTAATCATGAAAGACAAGCGGGGGGCTCCTATTGGGATTACATGAGAATCCTTTAACAACCCTCACCTATTTGAGAAAAATTCTTGATTGCTTCTTCTCTCCCCAATGTCCTGTCCCATTTGCCATTTCTTCAAGTGAGAGAAAACTGCATATGGTGGTTCTTTTTTCTGTGGCTAACAGAAATGAAACCCAATGAGAGAGACTTCCCTCCCGCACACCGCCTTTGAAGGTGTATACCAGCTGGCAAAATGTCAGTCAACCTGTAAATAATCATTGTTAGGACAACAGGAAATGTATTCAGTATGCTATGGGACTCTCCCAAGGTCACAGCCCTGAACCTAATGTCCGCATATAATAATCAAGCAGGATGGAGTCTGTGATTGTAATACTGGAAATGGTGGTCCCTAATTTGCTATCATCTAGTTCCTAATTTCACATTATACAGCAACTGGAACCCCTGGCAATAGGCAGGAGACATCTTCACTGAATAACTATGGGGATCCACATTATTTCTCTGGACTAGCTGCCACAAGAGGCTGCTGTATCCTTGATAGCACATTTATGCAGGGGGGGAGAAAATGTTGGGGAACTATGCAAAAATATCTACAGATTCATTGGAATTTAGCAGTCTCCAAAGATATACAAAACATAGGTGAAAAATTCTCCGAGGTTTCAGACATAAGGCATGAGATTTGGAAGCTGGGTAACAAGGAAGAATCACTGATCATGTGATTATAAAGCTGTAGATGGGATGTCATTCCCTAACTGCCGGTTCCATTTTGACCACAAAACATAACCGGTATAGATATAATCACCTTCCCAGCAGATGAAGGTTGGCAAGTAAATGCTTGAAATTGTTCCACCAAAGGTTTCTGAACAGTCAGCTTCTGAATCTCATGCCTGACATTTTAAACCAAGAGTTTAGCACTATTCGTACAAATAACCAAGAGAAGAATAATTCCCTTTTCTTCTAGTTAAGGTCGTAATTTGGCAAGTCTGAACCTTTTTCTACTATTCTATCAGAACATTTCTTCAGAATCCCTGAAAATGGACAATGTTCTCGTGCGTGTATGCAAAACCACCAGAATTGGCGTCATTGTTAACAGTCTCAGCAGAGAAAGCAAAGATGGCATGGAGACTTTATTACTGTTGTACCTAGTTTAGGGCAGGATGTACAGCGGAGTAGCATGGGGAAGCTTCAGCTCCTGCTGTACCTGTTCTGAGAACACACAGAGAGAGGCCACCTGCCTCCCAGTGCTACCTTACCCTATCACTAAGTTCACTCTCATTTATGAAATAATGAAATTATATTTGGTTTTCAGTTTGCCAAACTATGATCTCTTCACTATACTTCGTTTTAACTGACAATTATGACCTATATTTATAAGTCATTTCTATAGATACACACACAGTTAGCTTTGTGTTCAGTTTTTGTCTGTGTGGCACCGTAATGGTTCTGAGTAATTAATCTTCTAAACTACATTTTTTCCTCTTTGTTAGACTATCCAGGGCCATAAAGGGCCAATAACAGCTGTGGCTTTTGCTCCTGATGGACGGTACCTTGCCACTTATTCCAACACAGACAGTCACATCTCCTTTTGGCAGGTAAGAATAGACACAAAAGGTGAAGATATATATGCGATGCTAGTATTGTAAATGGGGTTGAGTTTTGGCATTTGTAGTCAACTTTTTGGGTCTTCTTTAAAAATGTTATTCACTACTAATGTAACCTCTGACAAAGGAAAAAAATGTATCATAGCTGAAATAACAAGCATTCCAAAAATCAGGAAATTCCAAAACTTAAAGCTTAAACCACAACATCAGTGCTGTCATTTTGGACAATCTGTATACAGAGCTATATCTCCCCACTGATTTTCTCTTGCTTCCCCTTATTTTATTGCCCCACTAGTTCTTTTTCACATGCTATCTGTGATGCTCTCACACAAGTATGCTGATAAAGGGTAAAATTTTCAAGTGACATAGGCCCTTAGGAATTTAAGTACCATTGAAATTCAATGGGATTTAGGCTCCTGAGTGCCTAAATCACTTAAACATTAGACTTAGGCTCCTTAGTGTCTTAGGGTAACATTTTGACAAATTTCTCCACTCATGTTATCTGTATAAATAGATTATAACTTGTATAAATATATAGATTGAATAAAAATATATGTATTAACAGATAAGCCCCTTGCAGTATGGACCTCTGTCTATCTTAGGTGCTATATATTACCCATTATCTGAGCATCTCACAATTTTATATTTTATATATATATATATATATAAATATACTTCCCTCTATATATCGCCTCACAACACACCTGTGAAAGAGGGAAGTACTATTATTCCCATTTACAAATGGAGAACTGAGGCACAGAGAGACCACACAACTTTACCAAGGAAATAGGAAGGTTGTGGCATGGCATTAAATTGAACCTGGATCCTTGAGTTCCAGGAACCTAACACCCTATCCATTAGACCACCCTCCTCTGTTTGCATTTTATATCTGTGATGTTGTCTGTGATTACCAATTCTCCTACATAAATAATAGTATATACCTTTGTAGTACTATTTTTAAATGTAAGGTGAGTATTACAGTAACTCCTCACTTAAAGTTGTCCCCATTAACGTTGTTTCATTGTTAGGTTGCTGATCAATTAGAGATCATGCTCGTTTAAAGTTGAGCAATGTTCCCTTATAACATTGTTTGGCAGCTGCCTGCTTTGTGCACTGCTTGCAGGAAGAGCAGCCTGTTGGAGCTAGCTGGTGGGGGCTTGGAACCAGAGTGGACCGAAAGCCCCCTTATCAGCTCCCCTAAGTTCCCTGTGCGGCAGCCACCCAGCAGGCTAGCAATTGCCGGGCAGTTCAGCTGTCCCTCCCCCCACTGCTGCGTGCAGTGTCGTCCCCCCCCCCCCCGCTCTCCTTTACCCCATCTCCACAGAGCGGGGGGGGAGGAGGGTACACAACAGGGCTCAGGACAGAGGGAGCTTGCTGGCAGCAGCTGCTGTCTCAACTTGCTG